CTCATGGTTTTGTAAACCATTGTGTGGTAAGTCGGGTTACGTTTCACTATAAATATGTAACCCCTTTGTGTGAAATGAATTAGAAGTAAAGTTGAGTTTGCAGTTTGCAAATTGATTGGGCAACTAAGGCCCATACAGTTATCGCGCTCTAATAGTCCATTGGTGGACTCATCTAACTCCGTTCTCAGACGAAACTCGGGATATCGAAGCTTTTTTTTACTGCGAGTGGACGAAACTCGGGATATTAAAGCTCTCTTTAACTGTAAGCATAATATCAGTGAGGGACACCGTGAGGTGCTAACTGTTTCGGTAATTGAGCTGACCGAGAGGGCCAGCAAGTCGTAGCCCTTAAAAGGATATCCTTTCGGACTGTTGGCAGTTGAGCACAATACTCATCGCCCTTTGTCAAGCTTCTCACTTATTTGCTTTCTACCTCCTAGTTACCTACCCAAGCAGGTAACCTTAGTTATAAAAAAAAGACAAAGATTTTGTTTCTCTATGCTTCCCTTTTCTTCTCTCTAATTCTCTCAGTGTTTTTTTAAGTTCTTATTAAAAAATTCCAAAAAATAGAGTCAGTTCTATGTTTCCAATTAGTGAGTACACTTCGTAGAGTTCTCAGTGTTTCTCTTTCCCTTTATTATTTCTCTTTTGATTGTTTACTTATTTCTTCTCTCTCTCTCTCACTGAGACTCTTTGTACTTCCCTCTTCCTTTCTCATTAAATTTTGTGGCCCCTTTTCACTTCATCCTTTTCGTACTCACATTATCAAAAGCTATCTTTGTCTTTGTTGTCCCCTTTAACTCCCTCTTAAGTCTTTCACTGAGACTTCTCTCTCGAGGAGTTTTTGATAGTAGAGAAAGGGTGTCTCTGAGAGAGAGGGAAGCCTTAGTGAGAGATTAAAGAGGGGTCTAAAGGGGACTACAATGACAAAGATGACTTTTGAAAAATTGGAATACGAGAAGGTTGAAGTGAAAAGTGGACCACAAGCTTTAATGCGAAAGAAAAGGGAACTACAAAGAGTCTCAGTGAGAGATAGAGAAGAGATAAGTAAACAATGATAAGAGAAGTAAGGAAGGAAGAGAGAAACACTGAGAACTCTACGAAGTGTACTCAATAATTAAAAACACAGAACTGAGAACACAAAATTGACTCTATTTTTTGAATTTTTTTAATAAGACTTAAAAAAACACATAGAGAGAGAACAAAAGGAAGTAGAGAGAAACAAAATCTTTTTTTTTTGTTTCATAAATAAGGTTACCTAGTTGGGCAGGTAATAGGGAGGTCGAAAGGAAGTAGGTGAGAAGCTTGACGAAGGGGGATGAGTACTGTCCTCAACCGCCAACAGTCTGCCATGATATCCTTTTAAGGGCTGCGACTTGCTGGCCCGTTCGATCAGATCAGTTACTGGAACAGTTAACAATGCCTCACGGTGTCCCAAATTGATATTACGCTCACAGTAAAAGAGAGCTTCGATATCCCAAGTTTCATCTGGGAATGGGTTAGACGAGTTCACTAAAGGACTATTAGTGCACAATGACTCTACTGGGCTTGGTTACCCAATTAATTTGCAAACTGCAAACTCAACTTCACTTTTACTTGATTTCTCACAAAGGGGTTACATATTTATAGTGAAACATAGCCCGACTTACCACACAATAATTTACAAAACCATGGGCTAAACTATAAACAGAAGGCAAAACTATATAGTACCCTTGTATATTAGGTAGATCCTAGAGTCACTTAAAACAGTACCCTGGTACATCAAATACATCGACATGCCACTTAATTTTTACGTCCACTTAAAAGCAAAACAAGTATACAGCCACTCGTCACTCACTCTTCCACAAACTAAAAAGGTAAATAGTAAAACCACTCATAAAAAACAAATCCACTCTTCATAAAGTAAAACTACATCAGGAAAACCATGTATGGTTTCTTTGCGAGATATTTTGAGATGATCTGGAGACTCCTTTGGTGACTCATCTTCAATAATGTTGCTGAATTGTTTGTAATGAGTCATACAAAAATGTCCTCCGACTTGGCAATTCTTGTAATTTTTGAAATTTTTATAGAAGCTTCCCCGTAAATACACTGTCGGTGGCTTTATGCTGGATGCTTTATGATTATAAAGAATTTCATCTTTATATCTCCGAATAAAACCTTGCTCAATGAAATTAATCCTTTTGAAATATTTGCATATATCCTTTTCCTAATTTGTATATCCTAATAATTTTGTCATAAAATCTCCGGCAATATGATTAGGATATTGCTAATTTTCAGAAGACAACTATATCCTAATCATATTACCAGAGATTATTAGGATATACAAATTGGGAAAATGATTTATGCAAATATTTTCAAAGGATTAATTTCATTGAGCAAGGTTTTATTCTGAGATATAAAGACGAAATTCGTTATAATCATGAAGCATCCAGCATAAAGCCACCGACAGCAGTCCAACTACTAATCAACTTCTACAAAAATTTCAAAAATTGCATGAATTGCTAAGCTGGAGGACATTTTTGTATGACTCATTATAAAGAATTCAACGACATTATTGAAGATGAGTCACCAGTGGAGTCTCCAAAATCATCTCAAAATATCTCGCATATAAACCATACATGGTTTTCCTGAAGTAGTTTTACTTTATAAAGAGCGGATTTGCTTTTTATGAGTGGTTTTACTATTTACCTTTCAGTGTGTGGAAGAGTGAGTGTCGAGTGTAGGTAATTTTGGTTTTGTAGTTGTTGATTTTATATTTACTTTTAAGTGGATATAAATAAGAGTGACATGTGGATGTACCTAATGTACCAGGGTGCTGTATAAGTGGCATGTGGATGTACCTAATGTACCAGGGTACTGTATGATTTTTCTTTTTGTCTATGGTTTAGCCCCATGGTTTAGTAAACCACCGTGTTTCATTATAAATATGTAGCCCCTTTGTATGAAATAAATCAGAAATTGAGTTTGCAGTTTGCAAAATTAATTGGGTAACCAAACCCGGTAGAGTCATCGCGCTCTAAGAGTCCTTTGGTGGACTCGTCTAACCCCGTTTCCGGACAAAACTTGGGATATCGAGGCGCTCTTTTACTGTGAGCAACTGAGCATAATACCAGTTAGGGACATCGTTTAGTATTGTTAACTGTTCCGGTAGTTGATCTGACCGAGAGGGCTAGCAAGTCGCAGCCCTTAAAAGGATATTTCAGTAGACTATTGCCAATTGAGCATAATACTCATCCCCCCGTCGTCAAGCTTCTCACTTATTTGCTTTCTACCCCACTATTGCCTGTTGTTCCAGGTAACCTTTTTATATCAAAAAATTTCAAAAAATAGAGTCAGTTCTGTGTTTGTTTGTAAATCCTTCTTTAATTCTGCATCTTTATTTTTCTCTTCAGTCCTTTCTTTTTACCTCTTTGACGAAGTGTAGATGTGCTTCTAGAGTCTTATGTGATCGACACATACCAATGAAACTGAAGGAGAAGTTCTATCGAATGACTGTAAGATTAACCATGCTCTATAAGACAACATATTGGGTAGTCAAGAAACCACATATCTATAGAATGAGTGTAGCTGAGATAATGATGTTGAGATGGATGAGAGGCAATACAAGAAAGCATAGAATTTGGAATGAATACATCTGAGAGAGCTTAGGGATAGCTCCAATAGTCAATAAGATGAGGGGAAGTAACATAGGTGGTCTGGTCCTGTGTGGCGTTGATCTAGAACACCGCTTAGGACGTGTGATTTGGTTCAAGTGGAAGGCTCTAGAAAGGCAAGGAGAATACCTAAAAGGATATGGGTTCAAGTGAGATAAGATATGATGACTTATAATTTAAGTGAGGGTATGGCCCTTGATAGAGACGAATGGGGAAACAAGATTCTTGTATCCGACCCCAAATAGTTGACATAAGGCTTGGATGGTGATGATAATAAGTAATAATTATTCAAATCTATGTTCCTTAAACTTTTCAAAGGAAAAGAGATTCTTAAATCCATATCAATCATAAAGGGAAAGTTTTAGATGTATTATCACATTTAATGTAGGGAATGGTAGGTCTTGGATTGGTGTGATCCAAAAATCTCATTTAATATAAGGAATGACAGGTCCTACAATGTCACAAATAGTTTTGGGATTTTGACCTGTTATCTTTTAAAAAAGTGCACAAGAGGGACAATGATCTCTCTCTCTCTCTCTCTCTCTCTCTCTCTCTCTTTCTCTCTATATTTGTATACTTATTCGCCAATCTACCTCATTTTTTTTTTCATTATTTTTACATTAAATATAAATGAAGGGGGATATGTGAAGGAAAGGGCAGGAGTTGCATACGATTTGACCGCAATAATATCCTTTGTCATCATATAAAATGTAATATAAAATAAAATATTTGAAGTCTGGTATTGTGAAGCACTTATATAAGAAGGTTCATGTAAATGAGTTATTACTTTCATATTTTGTTTGAGTAGATTTGTTGTGAGTATAAGGAAAAATATTTCTAATATGTAAGTTAGCATTCATAAAAGAAAAAATTTTATATATTACTTTGCATGTAAATATTTTAATAAATTTGCAATTAATATTTAATTTTTTAAAACTTCTTTAGTTTTATAGTTTATTGTATGGGCACCCCATCGCACTCCCAACTAGGAAACTCCTAGTAAGCAAGATTTCCCTGTTCCTGCCTCCAACAATTATGGTTAGGATATATATGATCTTAGCATTGTTAACTATAAACAAAGGCATAACTAACATGTAAAGGTGTTGGAGTGGAAATAAATATCTCCTAGAATTTGTAGAATGACACTAGATTACAGTTTGCTCTTTATGACATTCACTTCTACTATTATATTTTGTTTTTGACTAATCTAAGAAAGTCTGATTAAATCTGTTGATGCATCTTGGAAATTATTTTCTCAAGGATAGTTGCTCTGGAAAATTTTTGGAAAGGATTGTTTTTCTCCGTAGTTTATTTTCTCCTTAAGAACTCACTTTGCTTTTTCAGGACATTTGTTGGCACCAACTTAAGTCCTCTTTGGGAGAAATTCCTTATTTCAGATGAAAGTAAGTGAATCATTAAGTAGATTGCTGAGCATGTAGAGGTTAACTTGTCCTTTCATTTCTGTCATACTTGTTTTGTATCATTGTTGCTCCAAAACTTCCTTAGAGTTGACCCAGAATAAGTGATTTGAATAAAGAGCACCTTTTAGGAATCAACCCTCCTAGGAGCAAAAGCTGCCTAATGTGGGGTTTGATGATAAAAAACAAATAAAACATAAAAATAAATAAATAAGTAAATAGATAATAATTCTCTTTTGCCTTTATCTATGAAAAACAAGGATAATGTCAGGGGCATATATTTGGAATGCCCTTAACGGAAGGAAAAGATAAGGTAGTGACCGGGTGTCCAAATGGTGCCTTAGCATTGTTTTTTATGATGCTACTCATACAGTCCATTCCTTTGAATCATTGTTTTAGAACTTGCCAAGTTGACTTGGGACTCATTTGCATTGACTCAGTCGAGACATGTGTCTCACAGCTCAAGACTTGGCATGTCGCATATTTTTATCCAATGCGAATTCTTCTGAGGAAGGGTGATTGATGCAGCCCAAAATATTGCTCTCGAGTATCTACACAAGAGAGATAAGCTTAAAGTTCACAAGAGGAACCACAAAAGGGGCAATTTGTCATTGAGTCTATCCTTTTATGTCTTTTATTTATTTCTTGAGTATTTTTATTCATTTTGAGGCATAGGTTGTAATTTCTAAAGTCTTTTATGTCTCTTTATTCACTTAAAATCTTTTATAATAAAGGGCCACGATTAGATTAGATGGATGGCCATGATTAAGTTTTGTTTAGGGTTTTCTTATATAAAGGATGTATTCAAGCATAATGGATGATGTTATGTACTTTTATTCAAAACCCTAGAGCAACAATCGCTCCTTCTTCTGTCTTTGGCTTTTACAGCGATCGTCCCCGTTTTCTTCTTTGCTAAAACCCTAGCTCAAGCTACTAGGTTTGTGCCACATATGCTGTATGTGTGGCAAGTTAGTTTATGCATGCACCATCTTCCCATCACTTCGAGGCTGTTTATTGCATTTTACGATATTGAAATTTGCTCCATGGAGAGAACTACTTTATACCAGTCATAGTCACCTTGATGTACAAGGTTTCCGCGATGCGGATTGGGCTGGGTGTTCTTTTGATCAATGATCCACCAATGGCTACTTTATGATAGTGGGTGGTAACTTAGTTAGCTCGAAGTGTAAGAAGCTGAATGTTGTAGCTCGATCTTCTGCATAAGCTGAGTATCGAGCAATGGCAAGTGCCATATATGAAATAATTTGACTCCATTCTCTTCTTCAAGTGGTGGGTGTTAATATATCAGCTCCTATTCCTCTACATTGTGATAATCAAGTGGCAATTGATATTGCTCCAAATGCTTTATTTTATGAATGAACCAAGCATATTGAAGTCGACAGTCACTTCGTTAAAGAAAAGGTCGTTTCAAAGACAATATGTACTCTATTTGTTCGATCTGAGATTCAATATACTGAGGCATCTACTCAAGCTTGGCTAAATGATACTTTTGACAAGCTTGGCATCTATTATATAGATGCTCCAGCTTGAGGGGGAGTATAGTGACTGTAACACTCATGTAACAGTGCTGTATAAGGCTACACCAGCCATGATTAGCAGTCTTGTATAATAGGTTGTGACGGCTACGTAACAGTTTTGCATAATGGGTTGTAAAAGCCATGTAATGGTCTTGCGTAATGGGCTATAACAGCCATGTAACAGTCTTGTATAATAGGCTGTAACAGCCATATAACAATCATACATAATAGGCTGTAAATCCCATAGGGATCTGTGTATATATAAGGCTTGTTGCCTCACAATTTGAATAGAGGGAAAAGATCACTATAAATTCTTTATCTTGTGCTTGAATTTATTGTCTCTCTTTTTTCTCTCAATCTTAACAAAAACAATATACAAAGCTTAGTTTTGAAAAGTCTCATGCGACCATCCACTGCAGTGGATAAACTAACGACATGATGGATTTACTGTAGACATTGTTACTTAAGAAGGAATCAATGACTTATTAATTGCTTGAAGCTCTTGAGAGAAAATTCCTTTATGAGAGAGAGAGAGAGAGAGAGAGAGAGAGAGAGAGAGAGAGAGAGAATCCTGCTTGTGCAACAAGTGGGAAAATGCAAAGGTTAGGTTTTAAGCTTTTGAGAATAACTGCCCCTAAATGAATCGGTTAATTGATTTTGAATTGTGTTCTTTTGGTTTAAATTTTTGCCATGGATGAATATGGGTAGTAGAGTAGGTTGGTAATGTGTATGGAAAACAAGTGGAGCTAGGTGTAAGGAACAATGTTTGCAGCCTCAGTCCTTTTTAATTTTCCCTTTTATTCTTTTTTTCTTTTATTACACTTTCTTAATTTTACAGATGACTCCATATGTGGCCAACACACAGCAAGTCCATTGGGAAATGGTGCTGTCGTAGAGAGTGCTGATGGTAAAATTCTTGTTTTGCAAAGAAGCTATAATGTGGGAGAATTTCCCGGTCATTATGTTTTTCCTGGAGGACATTCTGAGGTAAGTTATCTGCAAGCTACTATGGTTTGATGGTTTTAGCAGCATATCTTGATCCTCTTATTGGTAAGGTAAGATAATATTGTCAGTAATAAACAAAGATAAATTTATTAAAAAAATCAAATACCTGAAGTAACCATGGTATCTTAGACTGTAGAAGAAGAAAGGGGAAATCTTCAAAAAGGAAGAACTGGAAAAGAAGGGAGCTAATGAAGGGGTGGTTGTGGTTGGATTCATGCCTCTTACAAGGGAAGAAAAAAGAAGACTGATTAGCCCTACATGAAATAAGAAGTACCTTCCCCAAAAACAATGATTAAGAAAAGAAATAAGAACTATGCTTTTCAGGTAGGTGGATAATGGAACACCAATGCTGTGCAGTGATGCTCTGCAACCAAACTCCGCAAAAGAATGATTTAGAAATGGTGAGGGTAAACCCTCTCTCTGACCTATGCTCTACTTTCTCTTTTCACATTCCTCCTCTCTCCTTAAAGAGGGGAGTGAGGTACCTTGCGACCGACTCCTTTCTTTCACCCTTTTTACTCTTAACAGAATGAACACCAGGAAACAAAAACTAGCACCACCCATAGTAAATACAAATACCCTACTACCTCCTTTATACCATTATTACCATAAACTCATTTACTGCCAATAAATCTCCTCTTCAAATCACTGTACATTATCCAGATACAATGGCTCTACATTCCAGTAATCCTCACTCCAAGGTAAGCTTACCTAGACAGACCTTTTATTGCCATCATTGTAAAAGAGAGATTTTTTTTTTAAAAAAAAAAAACCACCCAGCCCTAGTGCCTGGAAATCGACTGCAGACACCTCCACCCACATAAATCCACCACCAATATACAAAACATATGCACAAGCCATACAAAGCACTGAATGGCTTCATCACCAACTCCACTCTACCAGCCCATAGCCTCTGAATCCAAGCCCCAAATCTAAAACCAACCTTTCCTTTCTATACCACCCTCACCATAGACATTTGCAATCTGAAAAGAGAATAACCTTCTTAAAACATTTATGCATAGCTCGCTTCACCCCCCAAGATATAAAACTATTCTAAAATGAGCAGCTCACACATGGAAATGAGCCCAAGTATCTTGCCATACTCTGTCAAAACGATATCACGTCTTTTCTTTCCCCATGAAGGAAATGGTCGAGAGTGCCATCAAAAACAGAAACCTTTCCTTTAGCAGAGGATAACTATCTCTTTCCTATTGGACCCTTTCTTTCCTGCCATACCCCAAAACAAAAAGAAGGATCCTCATCCACGGCATCCCGATGCATTCTTGCTATTCCTCCACATTCACAGCAATCTGTGATCGCTGTAGAGGATTTATCAGACTAGACCAAAATCAATCTCGTAAGAAGGTTCTGTCATTATCCTGATTCATCCAAACCACAAACATCCATTCCCCCAGCAAAATTACCCTTCAGATTGAGAATCTTTGCTACTGATTTGCATCTCCAATTAATAAGCTTCACCAAGATTTATTTGCGCATAGGAGCAACCAAGACTCGAAGGTTGACTTCCGAACCCCAAGAGATGATCTTGGGACCACTAAGCTATCAAAGGCTGCCTTGGTAGTCTGCAGAGACCGTTACACCATATGGTGCCCAAGGAGGATACGTAGCAAAACAAGAGGACATCAGTCAGATGCAGTACTTCCTGAGCCAGCCATAATTCCATCTCACAACCCCAAACCGCATCCACCGAACCCAGACCTGCCACCTACTCTACCATCCCACAAATCGTAAACCCAAACTTTCTGAAACCTGCCACATCAGCTGAGCCACTACCCCAAACCTAATCCACTCATTATATCATCAAAATACAACATGATCTATGCGAAAAATCATGGCTCCTTAAATTATAGACAAGAACCACTGCCTACATCCACACCTTCACCCAACCTCACAGCCTAGGCTAGATCTACTAGAGGTCTCTTTCTCTTGCAATGTTGCCACCTCGCCACTGTCATCATTATCTTTTGTCACTGAAGTGTTAGTCACCAATCTCGATCCTCTCATTCTCATTGGCACGGCCACACAGCAAACATGCTCACCCTTGAAGTTCACACCCAGTTAAATGTTGGCCGTTCATCCATAGATATCCCACGACCTGAGCTGCCACCTCACATCCCTATTGAGGTTGAAGATCCTAGCCTAGTCACATCACCAAATATTTGGCATCAGAAAGCTTGGTTACATAAGGCCCATTTAATGAAACATTAATTTTCCATAACTCTTGAAGAGACACATTCTAGTCCCTGTCATATCCAACTCCTAGCCACAAATCTGTGATGATCCTCCCTCTCAACTACGCCAAACCGTCACATCATCTCCCACACCACCCCCAAACTGTCATGTCATATTGCCTCAATCATGCCATTTCAACACTCCCTTAGACCCCATCCCGCAAAGACAGAGACAACTACCTCAACCCTCCATTCAACTACCTTCCCAATCTTTTCACTACCCCAAATCCCCCACTCCCCTTTGTTAGTTTGCCCCCAATACTCCTTTGAAGTAATTTTCCCATTTGCCCCCAGCTGCGACCTAGTAGCAGTCCCTCTCAATATTCTTTCACCTCTCCCCTTGGACCTTGATTTTGATTGGCTCGATAATCTTATTCCCCTCCCTTTAGAGTTAGTTTCAGCCATTTCTATCTTCCTACTTTTTTTATGTTTTCTCCCACCATAGTAATTCTTTTTTCCAACCTGTTGCCTCCACTTCCACCACCATTGTTCCACCCATCCATTTTTTCTGCTCCTAACCTTATCCCTTCTACTTGGCCCATCCATGCCTTCCTTCCAACCAAGCACTATCAACCATCCCCCTCATTCCCCACTATAGGTCACTTCTACCCTACACACAGATGTCACCCTTGGTAATAGCACCATGCAGCCTCATAGTCCTAGAGCTCAATACCTCCCTATGCTAATCTCTGTATTTAAACATATGAATCTCCTTCATCAATCTCTGAACTCAACCCTAGTGGCCCCATCGGCGGAAGCGACTCGGGAGACAGCCTAGGCATTGGATGAGGAGATCCAATGCATCAACCACAATGAACCCCACCTTATGGAGATATTGGAAGATACAGGTTTCAGCTGCGATGATTCTGCCACTAATGTTTTTGAAATCCTTCATAACAATAAGTTCCAAAAAGGACCCATAACTTCTTAATTTGTCATTTGCAATAAACTATTATGTTGGACTCCCTCAGAGTCAGAAATCTCCTACCGTTTCCAATACTCTATCCCCTAGGCGCTACCCTAGGTGCCTACCTTCCTCTGCACATCCTCTCAAGCGAGGATACTCTCTTAGAACATTCAGGGGATCAGTGACCTCCCAAGGGAAAGATGCCCTCTCCTTCTCTCACAAATTTGCTCCAAATACTTATGTTATCTTAGAAACCAAAGCTCGCCTCCCCCAACTTCCCAACATTAGAAGTATCTAGGGTAGAAGGCCTTGTGAGTGTAATTCTTTAGAAGCCATAAAAGCCTTTGGAGGTATTTGGGTCATCTAGGACCCTCCATCTATTCCCTCTCTTCTAGCTTTATAAGGTTATAATCAGTATTACTATACCGTGTTAGATCCTCCAACGCCTTTCCTGGAAGTTACAGTAGTTCAGGGGCCCAACAAACCTAACCTTACGCAAGCTTTTTGGGATATGCTAAGTTCAACAACTATTCCCCCCTGTAACCCTTGGGAACTTGGTGGAGACTCAATGTGATTGAATCGTCGCCATGAGTCCAACCGACATAGTAGACTCTTATCCAGTCCTACAGGAAGAAAATGCCTTCCATTCTTCCTCTCACAACGCATTCTTTTTTGATATACCACTTAATGGCTCCTCCTTCACTTGGTCCAACCACTCCTTCAACCCCCTTCCCAAATCCGATCGTTTGCTTATCTTACCAGAATGTGAAGATCAGTTCCGTGGCACCCACTCCTCTTTAGCCAAACTTACTTCAGACCACATACCCATCCTCTTGGATAACCTACCTCTTTCTTCTAGCCCAAAACCCTTTAGATTTGAACTAGCTTGGCCCAAAGAGTAATCCTTTGATGATTTGGTCCCAAATTGGCCACCCTCCTCTATCCACTAAAGGGCAGGCTTTAGGCTTCAAAAGGAAATGACTTTACTAAAAAATGCAATCAAAGGGTGGAGACATTCCAACCCTGTCAATATCATGTCCCTCAAGGACTCTCTTATTAAGGAAGTTCAGTCGTTGACACAATTGAAGAGTCAAGGAATATTTACTCGGTTGAGCTAGAAAGGAGAAATGAGGCTAATACTGAATACATTCAAACTCTTAAAATGAAGCGATATACTGGTTTCAAAAAATACAGCTTTCTTTCACAAGATCACTAGCTCTTGATATAGAGCCAACATTATCCCCCAATTTTCCATCGGGCAAAACCTGTTTGTAGAATATGGAAACACTGGCCTCAGCCATTAAATCTTTCTTCCAAAAATTATTCACGGACTAAGGGCCTCTTCATCAATTTGTCGATCTAACTTTCCTTATCCTAAACCCCAACTCTACGGAAGTGGAGGATAGCTCTCAAGGTTTCCAACATTGGCAAAGACAAGGCACCAGGAGCTTATGGCTTTTTCGATGGCCTTCTCCAGGTTTTGTGACTCCTTTACCCTTGATTTCCTAGCTTGTTTCAATGAATTCTTTCACAAAGGAATCATTAACAAAGAAATGAATGCTACTTCATTGCTCTCATCCCCAAAGTTGAGGGAGCTGATGACTTATTCAGGCCCATTAATCTCCTCTACTCCACTTATAAAATGCTATCCAAGGTCCTTGCATTGAGCTTGAGAGCCATTCTAGATCAAGTCATTTCTCAACATCTGAGCGGCTAATAATAGATTGATTCTAGATGGGGCCTTTGTTGCCCATGTAGCTTTACATCACAAACACCAAACTAAGAAGCTTGGACTCATTCTGAAACTGGATTGAGAAAAGGCCTACGACTGCATCTATTGGTCTATCCTTGAATCATCATCATCATCATCATAGACTTTTCCCAATTAATTGGGGTCGGCTACAGGAATCCTGGTTTGTCATTCTGCTCTATTAAAGACCATACTCTCAGTGAGTCCATAAGTCCTCATATCCTTTCAGCCTACTTCCAACCACATTCTTTTGGGTTTACCCCTTGCCCTTTTCAGTTCTTCTACTTGAATTAACTCCTTCCTCCTAACAGGTGCTATACTTGGTCGACACCACACATGACCAACCTACCTAAGTCTACTATCTTTCATCTTATTGCCTATTGGTGCCACACCAAAATTTTCCTGAATGGATTCATTTCAAAATTCTGGTCTATCCTTGAATAATTCCCCAAAATGAGATTTGGGTAGATTTGGAGAAAATGTATCTTTGGTTGCATCTCTTACACCTCTCTCTCTATCCTCGTCAATGACACTCCCAAATGACGCTTTTCCTCATCAATGGGGCTCCTTCAAGGGGACCTTCTATCCTGTTTTCTCATTCCTATGGTGGCTGAGACCTTTGTTTGATATCATTCCAGATTATACCAAGAAATATATCTCAGATTTCAAACCATCAAGGGGGGATGTGAAACTTGTCACCTCTAATACACCGATGATACTTTGGTATTCTGTGATGCGAATGTTGAACAGTTAGACAATGTATGGTTATTTTCTCCAATGCTCTGAATAGCCTCTGGAATGAAATTGGACGTGCCAAATCTTAACCGATGAAGTCTCCGACAATCATCTCTCCTTCCATGCTAGTAGACTGGGATGTGGTATAGACCAACTTCCAGCCAAGTTCCTTGGCCTCCCTCTTTGCTTAGGTCAACCTAGAAAGGCTCTTTGGAACCCCATAGTTGAAAAGTTCAAGAAGAGGTTGGCTGCTTGGAAAAGCAGGTACTTCTCTCTCAGAGTTAAAAGTACTTACCTCAGAGACACCCTATTCAGTATCCCAATCTATTCCACGTCTAGGGATGGCAATGGGCCAGGCAGTCCGGCCCTATAAAGGTAGGGCTTAGGCCACGAACTGTGGCTTGAGGGCCGGGCTAGTGCCAGTGGCCCGGTTCCCTTGGCCAGAACCTTTTTTTTTCTTAGTTTTCTATTAATTTTCTTCATTTGTTTTTTGCCCGGCATGGGCCGAGTTTGCGGCGGCTCTATGTGGAAAAGGATTAGGCCAGGGTCAAGGCTGGCCTGGCCAGTCGGGGCCCATTATCCATGTTGTTCTTCAAAATGCCTTTGTGCATCATTAACTCTCACGAAAGACTTATGAGAAAATCTATCTGGTTTAGGCGATACTTTAAAAAATTAAGTCCACTTAATTGCTTGGAATCAAGTTTGCAAGCCTAAAAAGTTTGGAGGCCTTGGGATGTGCTGTCTTAAAAGCTGCTGAACTAGGCACTCATTGGCTAGTGGTGATGGCAGTTTACCACCAACCATAATCTTTTATGGTGGAAAGTGCTCTTTTAGAATTATCGTGTTGGGTTGGTTCCCTGAGAGGAATCAAGGCCTGCAGCTTTTTCCAGCATTTTCAAAATTTTGTTTGGCTAGCACAAGCTTTTCATGCTTTATATAAGATCCAAAGTTAATTAAGGAGAAAGAGTCATTTTATGGAATCATGCTTGGATAGGAAGAGTCATTTTATGGAATCACGCTTGGATAGGCGATCAATGTCCCAAAGATACGGCCCAATCTTTTTACAATAGCCTGTATCCATAATGCTATTGTGGCTCAATAATTGGAACACATCAGCTTCCACCAAACCTGGACACCCACCTTTAGGGGATCCCTCCATGACCATGAATGTGAGGATCTCATAGCTTTACATAGCGTTGTAGCTGCCTTTTACCTCATTGGACATGGAATGGACCAGGTGTGTGGGCCTGGTGTATGGAATGGACCAGGTGTATGGAAGGGACCAGTTCACAAAACTCTTGACCTTGCTTCCTCCCACATGCCTTCCATACACTATAAGGTTTGGTTCACCTCCAAAAATCCAAGCCTTGAAGTAGCTACTAATCTCCAATCAAAACTCTAGACCAACTCATGAGGAGAGGTTACAACGTTGCAAATATATGCTCACTTTGTGGATAAGAAGTAGAATCCCTCCCTCCTCTTTTTCTTCATTGCAATTTTGCTTCCAAAATTTGGGCCAGACATCTCAAAGACCTCAATTGGCAAATGGTTCACACAGGGGTTCATTGAACATCTATTCTCTGCCTATTTCTCCCCTACACATTGGCAGGTTTATTTCATTGGACAGCCTCCATCCTGGCTACACAATGGCAGGTTTCTCTCATACTGTATTGTATTTTTAAGAAAAAAAATGAAAACCCTATACCAACCGTAAGTGTGTGGCCTCCCCTAGTAGCGACCAATGGAGTGGAATGATGGGCATCACATACCCTTACATTTTATTCTTTTCAACAAAAATCTGAAATTGAAAACTTCTAAACCAAAAAATCTCAATTTGGATTAGTGAATAACTTAAAACTTCATAAGAGAGTTACTTAACACTCGATAGAAAGAGCTGGTCGAACATTCTTTTGCACTCTTGGTTGGCAAGTCACCCTCCAAATATATTCTCCTCCCCCAAAAAATGATAAATGCACCCTGTTACTTGAATTTCGTTATTTGAATCCCCTTTTGGGTAAATATTTGTAGTAGCTTTATTAGACTGTACATCTCTCTTGGTATATCTAGATAATAGACATGAGCATAAACTAAGAATATTTTGGAGCTACAAAGATAGTTATTAAATTGTTAGCACGACATAAAAGCATTCCTTCTAGAGTAACATTAATATGAATAACAGAAACTCTGTTATAGCCATTTCTGTACATTCAGTGCACTCGATAGATGGAGGAATACATAGAGTTGAACATAGTAAAATAAGAAACAGAAAGATTTCATTGAAATTGTTTGTTTGGAAATTCCGAAAGCTCATTATAGGCTCTCTCCATTGGAACAATTGAGCCGTTATCCTTTCACCAAAAAGTGGATTCCATTCTAATAGCTCCAAATAAATCAAGTACATGCATTAAGTTATGAAATGCTATAGTTCCTACATATGATTTATTTATTTATTCAGAAGTAATTCATTGAGATCATGCACCTTAATTCTTTTGTATCTCAGTTATGCAACATCCATGGCAGATTATTGTCCATAGCGAGGGTGCAAACCTCAACCACTTGTAATACTTTCAATCATAACTGTGTGTAGTCTTATAGCCCATCAGATTAAATAGAGCCTAGCATTTGCAGCTGGGCCTGTCACTCGACTGTTGAAAGGGGAGAATGGAGCTACTTCATGGCCATGGTGATTCCTTACGATGCAACCGGTTCTTGATTGTGATGGTTCTATTTCTCATTTTGCATAATTGTTAGTTTGGGCGCCTCCTGCGTTGGTTTGGTAAGAGTTTAGGCAATGCCTTATGTGGTTGACAGAGGTAAAAAAAAACCTGTTCGATAGACTTGTCTAATACTTCTCCATACATAAATAGTCATAGATTTTGTGAATGGCAAAAAATTAGAAAACCATATTTTTTCATGAGATTGCAGTTTGGTACTTGTCAACTGTGAAGCAGAACAATGCATGAGCTTTATCAATGCGAGGCAAACAAAGGGTAAATTTGTAGAATTCTATTATGCTGCCTGGGAAATCTTAGGAGCAAGACCCATTTTGAGCTTTGCACCCAGCAATTTTAGAATCTTGGCCCAGCATCATTGTGGGAACTTTGTGCAAGATGGAGGGGAGCGGTCTTACTATTCATGCACTTCCCTAATAATGGTTGCAGAATTAATATAGTGTCACCTCTCTCTCATAGTTATGTGGAAGAACCGATTAAGCGAATAATTTATGTTGATTGACCAAACAAGTCTGATTGGTCTTCTTGTGCTAACAAATTGATGAGCTTGGAGTTTGGTATCAAAGGGAGCGCCCAAAATTCGAATCAGGACTTGCAAGGTGGTAATCAGTAGCAGATGACCTATAGATCATGGGAATGGGCTAAGGTTGTGGTGGTAGCACCCCACACCCTAGTCACCACGTTGTAGTTGCCATTCCCACCATTAATACCACCCCACTAACACTTTAAAAAAGCTAACTCCTAATCTACTTGAAAAAACAGGTAGGGGCCTGTCTTCCCCATTGAATTACCCAAAAAAAAAAAACGACCTATAGATCAGAGCTTGGGTGTCAAACTTAGCCCTTTCCTGTTCATGTTAAGGTCCACAGATAAGCTGCCCATGTCAGCAAACTGCTCGATGATTCTCACTTTCTTGCTATGAGTTTATGTCTAATCATTTCGAGCTTGCTTGAACATGCTTTGGGTTTGACAGGTGTCCCATACCGGTCTAGCAGCATAATTTCCTTCACTATTCCTGCCTAACTTGAGCCAGGTTTTCATGAATCTTACTTCTAAGTAAATGATCATTGTATCACAAAACTTTTGGTAAAATCTGCAGCCTGAAGGTCCTCCATTATATCATTCTTGATACCTTTCCGGTTATTGTCATGACATTCCAAATTGCTGCTATTCACCAGATTTTGTTCTTATTCTCTCATGATTTTCCCAGGAAATGTAACTATTTTAATGTATTGAGAAAGAATTATATTGTTTTGTTATTTCATTGAAGATGGTCAGTATCTTTTTTAGCATTTGATCATTTGATAGTGATCCCAATGCACACTATTTTGCAGCCTCAAGAAATTGGCATTTCATGTCATATACGTGATGAGGACACACGAAATAGTTCATGCCTAAATGATAAAGTTTCAGAAGAGATGTTTGATGGTATTACGCGTGAAGTAGTTGAAGAAATTGGTGTCCCTGCAGGCTCTCTTGTAAAGTATCTCATTCCCAGAACATTTATGATTTTATTTTGCTTTGCAGGTTGTGCAATTTGGGGGCATGTCTTGAAGATTATGCTTTCTTGTTAATCTTTAATAAGAAATGTGGGTAGAACCTACTTAGGTTCTGAAACTAGGAGCTGTAGATCATCCATTTAATTTTGTAGGTGATCGATATTATTCCATTCATTTTGTTTTTCTTTTCTTCTTTTTTTTTTTTTTTGGCTTTCCCACAATATTTTATTTGTCTGTGAAACATCCAAAGATATTTTATTTAATACATCTAGGTTGACTGATCAGGAAAAACAAGCAAATCTGGATTGTAATAGAAACTATTAGTTGTTTGAAGCTTGATGGAGGCTTCTCCTTTTCCATTTGGGAGTTCCAATGGGAGCAGTATATTCTGGAACGGAACCCTAACCAAGTGCTAGGCTTCTGCAACTAAGATATGAATATTGTATTTGTTTTTTGTGGGAATTTTCCTTAAGTGGTTGTTTCTTACTTTCAGGTCTGTGTTTCATTAACAAATGGCTTTCCTATATTACCACCCTTTCTGTCTATATATTTTAGATCATAAGAGGGTATTGATCAAAAAGAGTATTTTATATCTCATGAAAGAGTGATTCTGGTATTTTATATTTCATAAAAGAGTGATTTTCTCTTTTGGTCATTTTGGGACTTGATCTTTGATAGACAAATTCCATCCCGATTGAAGTGATTTTATGGGTATACTATGTAGAAATCATCAAGCATGTAGAAATGTCCAATTTAAATTTCCATGTGAATTGGCCTAATTTTGGGTTTTCTTTTGAAGCTGCTTATCAATTTCATGGAGCATATAATTTCAATGCGAAATTGCAAATTGACTTGTTCAGGTTCATTTACATGAATCTGAAGTGTGACGCTCGGGAAATCGTTGTCTCATGGCCCACAAACTACAATAGTTCGTCGCTTACATGATTGTTTGCCTTGTTATTTTGATGTGGTCTGCTTTTAGAGGGCATAACTTTCCTTTTGGATGTCCATTGGATGCGTTCTGGGAAGTTGTTTCATTGGTCTCATCAATATTTACGTCTCATATTTCTATATGCTTTTCCTGATCTTGGTGTTTTGGGCCTCAAAATTTAGCTCAACTTTCAGTCACGAGATTCCTATGGATTTTTAGCGTGGTAAGGGTAGATTTAGGATTTCTATTTTTTGTTTTGGACTTACAAATTTTTCGATTTATTTCCTATTTCCTATTAGGGGTAGTTTTAGATGATTTAGTTGTTTATATAGTGATTAGGATTGATAGTAGACTCTTAAGGTTAACTAGGGTAGGAATTTGTGGTTAAGGATATAAATTGGAAATAGTGAGTCCTGTTTCTCTTGACAATTGTATTATATTTCTATTGAAACAAATTGAGTGGCCTTGCGCCTGGGAAGGAGGACTTGCAACTCTTGTTTGCTTCTTGTGTGATGCTAATGTGCTTTTCTTCCTTTGTGCGTGTTTCTAACTTTCTCCTACATTCTAGTTCATGCATTGGGTTTCCTTCAAAGTGTAGGTATTTGATAATGATGTAATATCTCTAGACAACAAATTTTGTAGTTGCAGTTTAATATGCAAGCCTTGCTTGTGATTTTCATTTCCTCTATTTAAAATTATGTTCTTGTAGTTTTGATCCTGACCTCCAATGCAGACATATCCAACATTTATTGGTATTTCCCGTCGATTGTTGAATGTTCGCCCAACAGCCTTTTTTCATGTTAAATGCCACATGGAGTCGGAGGATATTCGTCGGTTCTATTCAAATGCGCAAGATGGATATGAATCCACCCAGCTTTTTGCATTTTCTCAGGTTTGTGTAGATCTTTATAGATTGGAAATTCACAAATTGTTAAATGAGATTTATTTCCAATGGTTTCGACTTTATGGAAAATATTTTGTACAATGCATCAATCTTATAATGTAGAAGGAAGGCATACCTCAAAAACCCACCGCAAAAGGTTGTTTTGAAGCTAAAAAGCCTCTAAACGATCATCTCAACCTCGAGATGTATTGATATGAAAGAAAAGGATTTCGAGTATTAAAAGTAGTGCATCTTGTAACACATTATTTGAACTGTTCATTTTCAAGATTTTCAAATATTTATAGATCTGTTCGATTTATATTATTTTTGATGCCATAAATTTCATAATTAGGGATCGAAATAGAATTTACAGGCCATCATTTACAATTATTAACACCAAATTTGCATCTTTTGACATGGTTTGGAGGTGAGCCTTGCTTCAATTGTTTAAGGTTGTATGTTACAAGACTGTTCATTTTCAAGATTTTCAAATATTTATAGATCTGCTCGATTTATATTTTTTTTGATGCCATAAATTTTATAATTAGGGAACGAAATAGATTTTACAGGCCATCATTTACAATTCTTAACACCAAATTTTCATCTTTTGACAAGGTTTGGAGGTGAGCCTTGCTTCGATTGTTTAAGGTTGACACCTTATACAAATTGCACTGTAATTGTTTGACTCTTTTTCTTGTTAGTTTTGACAATAAGTTTTTGAATGACAGGATGAGTTGAGGAATGTCGCTTCCAAAATGCCTGGCTGTCATCAAGGTGGGCATGCATTATATGAATTAATGGTAAAGGAACAAAAGATTTTATGATAACTTTATGTAGCCCTCTGGTTATGCTTTCTGAAGATTATTCTATTAGAAATATATTATAGATCAATATATCGCCGACATATGTTTCAGACTTGATGATTGTTGACTCATTACATGTAATTTTCCAATAGAGATCGTCTTTGAGACTCATCTGAGTTGGGTTTATTAATACTCTAGTGGATGACACAGTATTGATTTACCACTGGAATGATTTGTATTATGTTGCTTATGGTATAGATTTATGATAGGCTTTGCAACTTATTGTTTGCATACCGTCATGCTTCAAGTGCATGTATAGGGTTTTTCTATATTTTACAAACTGCAACATACAAAGAGTTCAGGGAATTTCTCAGTGTTGTGTTTGGCAAGAGGTGTGATCATTTTCTGAATTTTTTGGGTAATTTATTTCAAAATAATTGATTCCATACTAAGTTTGTTTAGGGCATTTCAAACTCCCTGCCTCTTTGTTGGCCAAGGGAGGCCCACCTTCCTGTGGGACCAGTGCTTGCTCCCCTTTTTGTTTGCCTATAGAAAAACCCACCTTTTTTATCGGGCGATGGAATCACAAGCATTGTCTCTTAGAGGGTCTATATAAACCTTGAATTCTAGAAATACGGTGCTTGTTTTCCAAATCTTTTCATTCTCTAATCTTCTTTATTGCCGGACTTCGTAGGAGAGCTTCTCTATTACTGGTTTCTCTGTCTCTAGCCCAAACGTCAGTTAGTTCTTCGCCATCCAAATTCGATTTCTCTTTAGAAGGCTAATCAGTACTGTCTTTATGTCTCTTGCCCTCTCTATGGGTTTTCAAACCAAAGAGAGTCACAATGCTTCATTGGCCCTGGATTTATCTTGCAAAGACCAATTGCGCCCTGAGAAATCAAGGGATATTGAATCTTGAAGATAACAAGGGCAACTTCTGCCTCTGTTCTTAGTGGAGTGCATTTCATATTTTTTCATGTTTGTTCAAGTTTGAAGGCCGTGGCTTCCAAGAATCAAGGTTATTACTCTTGCTAGAAGTGTTACTACTGATAACATTAGAGCTCCATGCTTTTTCTTTGATTATTAAGTGCAATCTCATTGTTTTATCCAATTTCAGTCGAGCTTTTCCTAGGTGTAGATACCAATCTCTTAAGAATACAACACTTGAAAATTTTATAATTGGGCAGGTGTACACCACAATTACGTACACTTTTACATGAAAGTATAGCAATCTCTCACTGATACAACTGCTCCTTATACTCGAGTACAGTAAGAAAAGACGATCAAAATATTTTATTTTTTATTGTTATTTTTTTGGGTGAATCAGTGGGGAGAGGGCCCCTACTTTGTGTAGGAATTGAGCCTAGGATGATCAAAACATTTCATGGTATCAACATGATTTTCATCCATTTGGGCACAAAGAGATTGTATATATACAACTCGATTAAATTCAGCCACATACAATTCTCATGGAATTACATCTAACACTTTCTTGTTGAATTACAACTCCAATGCAATCTTATTCATTATATGGGCTTTAACAAATGTGTGCAAAGCGACAAACCATTGGAAGCCAAAACCATGGTTCCGTGACTTGGCCTAGTCTAATCGGACTCACGCTATAGGTGAGCCTGAGTAACCCTAAGTTGTATGTATAATATCGGGTACATAACATGTTCTAAAAATCTATAAAATGACAATGGTGTATAAATGTTTTCATATGATTAGGATATTTTGGAAATGATTGGTTAGTGTTTTTTGTCATAATCTATGTTTTTATTTTTTTAAGCTTTTTATTTTTTTAGTATTTTGAGTCCGTCCCTCGTTCACTTCGAGAGGTTGGAGATAGGGTAGAAGGGCGATTTCAGTTTCAGTTCTTAAACCTTATTCTATAAAAATGTCCTAGTTTGAAAACTAAAACTAAAACCAAATAGGGGCGTAAACAAGTGGAATAAAAAATAGATCGGTGCTCCGGATCGGGCACTCAAAAAACCCATCCGGACCGGTGAATCGGTGTTTCGGATTGGGAATCGGTCGGATTCGGCCTTTAAAAAAATCTAAATTTTTTATTAAAAATCATTATAAATGTTTATTTTTAGGAATCCAATAAGAAATATGTGTATTACATTAATAATTTCATTTTTTTACTTCAATGTGCAAATATTGAGATATCCTTTCCTGATATGAATTATTGTTAACCGTTAAATTTACATCACACAAAAGGATAAGCTTATAATTATCATGGATGGATGAAGTATATAATCATATATGGACTACAATAAAGATGATGTTCTTCATCTTGGTCACACTGGTGTCATTGATTGAATTCACATGACAATTTATTTACTCGATCTATGAACGAATTATCTAAATTAGTGAGCACCTGAGATTAATTCACAGTTTTAAGCAATAAATTGTTTTAAAACTAATTAATCAAAGAACTGTAAAATTTTACAATATGTATTTGCATTAAATAATGGGTGCGGTTTCTATTAGGTTGCAACCTTAAACAATCAAATTAAGGTGCGCGTCCAAATTTTATCATAATATGTAATTTTGATGTACAAAATTCTTAAGATTATCTCAATATCTATTTTCATATCTAATTATAAAATTTTAAACTCCAAAAATAGTTTAAAATCAAGTAGATCTATAAACATATGAAAATCTTGAAAATAGACGGTCTAGATAATGTGTTGCAAGATGCACTATTTTTAGGACTCAATTTGTTTATTTTTTATTTTTCGTATTCATACATCTCGATGTCGAGATGATCAAAGGGTTTTTTAACATTAAAATAAACATTAAAATAACTTCTTTTCGATGGATTTTTTAGGTGCATCTTTAGTTCTACATTTTAAGGTTGCAAACTTATATAAACTTTTTCCTTAAATAATTGATAATAAAGTTGAATAATACAAGTTATTTTCACATGATAATTACAAATTGACAATCAATTGAATATAATTTACAATTTAATTAGCAAATTATTTTAAAATTAATTACTCAAAGAACCCTCTCAAAATTCAAGCCATAATCTTCAAAATTGCAGGTGAACACCAATAATCACAATTTTTTCAAAATTCGATCAACAAAACTTTGTTGATCACACAAATAACAATAACAATTATCTAAATAACATCATCATCTTAAAAAACCCTCTGAAATAATTCAAAATGATTCCCTAATTCGAGTGAAATGATTAGTTTTGCCGAAAAAAACCCCTAAACTGTTCTTGAGAAACTGTGACTTCAAATCACAAATGCACCATTAATTGACCAAAACCCCAAAAAATAGGCTACAATATCTTGTGAATAATACTATTAAGATAAAAAATGCCTTGATTTGATAAGCAATTGTGCCCTATTTTGCCTACAATCAATGAAATGATGGAAAATGAAAACCCTAATCTGTTATTGATAAACCGGGACTTCAAATCACAAATATACCATTAATCGATAAAAAAACCCAAAAATAGGCTATAATATATTGTGAATAATACTATTAAGATAAAAAAAGCCTCTGATTAGATAAAAAATTGTGCCCTATTTCGTCTACAATCGATGAAATGGTGGAAAAATAAAAACCCTAATCTGTTTTTGAGATACCGTGACTTCAAATCACAAATACACCAGTAATATACAACAAAAACCGAAAATAGGCTACAATATATTGTGCATAATACTATTAAGATAAAAAAAACCTCTGATTTGATAAAACATCTTGCCTTATTTTGTATGCAATTGATGAAATGGCGGAAATTTTGAAACCCTTACCTGTTCTTCAGAAACCGTGAGCTCAAATCACAAATCCACCAGTAATTGACCAAAAATCCCAAAAATAGGCTATAATTTATTGTCAATGATACTATCAAAGATTAAAAAACCCTTTGATTTGATCTAAAATCTTGACCTATTTCATTTGCAATCGATGAAATGGTGGTTTTTTATCAAAACGAGTTTATGTTAGTGAATTCGTGGCTTCAAATCGATGGTGGTTTCGTTTTTAATGATAAATAAGATTGTAAAGTGATATGTGAAGGCTGCAAAGATTAGATTTTGCTCAAAAAAGTGATAAAAAATCTTCAAAGCTTGATCATTGAGCTCAAATCATTCAACTTTCATTGTTCATCATTGAAACTCGGTGGAATTAGCGAGTTTACTGTAGCAAAATCACCTGACTAGCCTGGTGCCTTTCTAAACACTAGCGATTTCCTGTGTTGAGCTGGAATCGACATGGGGTGACTGATTCTCATGTTGAATCGCCCAAGTCCATGTTGACTCGACGATTTTTAAACCACTAGTGTAAACTGGTTCGGTTGAGACAGAGTCGACCACGACCCGACTAGGTCTCATCTTGGCCCGACTTGGACATGTGACTTGGACCTAAATCCGAAAAAGGGAGCCTGGACCCAACCCGATAGGGTCCATGCCAGACCTAGACCCTAACCTAGACTTGGTTTAGGCACACCTGCCCCTGCCACCCCGAGGACCAAAGGAATCTTCCACTTCCCATGATTACAATTTTTTTTTTGTTTTTGTTTTTTTGTTTTTGTGTGTAATTCAATGAGGAAGACAAGTCCCTTCCTGTTTTTTCAAATAGTTCAGGAATTAGTTTTTTGAAAATATTAGTAAGGTAGTGTTAGTGAGAATAAAATCGATAATGTGATGACTAGGGTGTGGGGTTGCTACTACCACGACCTCATCAGCTTCTTTCCCATAATTACAACTTGTCGAAGGTAAATGTGGATGATAGCATTGCATGCGACGACTTCGATAGATTTTGTGCCCGTTTTCTTTAGGCTTCAAATCCTTGCTGATTTATAACCACAATAAAAGAGAAATCTTTGAGAAATAAATGCATAATAAGCAAACAAAAGGAGCAACTTTTTCTTTCCTTGATATGGAGAGAGGAAAAAACCATGTAAAAGTAAGGTCCAAAGTCCACTCGCTATCTTTGGGCATTAGCTAGGGTTCATATGGGAAAGGTTTCTATAATTTCCCTACAAAGAAGATCTATACTTCCCTTACCATCTAGCTGTCTAATTTTGATCAAAAGAGCCACTCATCGTTTGATCTTAGATCCGACATCTCAAAGTATTTTATTTTTACTGTTTTTAATACAAATTGTATGAATATGAAATTTAGTACGTACCATCTTCTCATTGGGGCACACCTATTAAAAGTACTAAAAATAAAATTTCGATAAAATATAGACCAAAATACTCCTTGAAAATTTTTGGGATATTTTGGTTATTTTATTTTATTGAAAATATTTGTTTTATATTT